GCTGGTGCCCGTGGAGTCTCAGGGAAGAAGGTAGCTGTCCCAGTCATTTCTGCAAATCCCGGCCTGCCATTATCACAGTTCCTGCACATATTATATCTCATATGAAAAATGCAGGGAAACTGTTTTGAATGCAACTTCTGCTATGGATTATGTGCTCTTCTGCAGCTCTGGTTTACATGAGAAAACCACATTTGCAGGGTGCTTCCAGCATGTACATCCCAATAGACACACATGCCTCCCCAGAAATTGCTTCTTTAAGGAATCCAGGCTACAATTTCACTTTTGGAAAGGTAGCTAGATTGTACTTTATGCTGATTGTCATTGGATAAGACCAGTTTGAGCAGGAATACCCAAACAAGTATTTAAGGCATTTCAGTTGGGATAAAAATGAACTAGTAAAACTCTTGCCCTTGAGCAGCTGTAATTTCTGGGATCATTCCTGTGAGTTTGAGATTCTTGGCCTCCTTGTGCAGCAGCCTGCCTGTCTGGCAACTGTCATCCTCAGGCATATCAGTTACATGCTGCCACAGCCACCCAAACGTCTTGTGCAAATGTTAATATCAAAAGCAAGCCAGGTGGTGGCAAACTCTGAGATAGCCCTCCAGATCATCATCGGTTATCACAGGATTTACAAAGAGCTTCTCTAACACATGCCAGCTTTCCAGGTATCAATAGCTGTTTCAGTGACACAGATATATAGTGTATTTCAATGCGCTTTGTGGTATCCCCTGATGTGGTATCCATAGGTTCTACTTCTGCAAAATGTATACTGAACTGTGGCCACTGTACATGGTCCTCTTGGCATGATGACAGTCAGATATTCTTTTGTTTAAATGTTGACTGCTGTACATAGGGCTTTCACAGTCAGCTTTCAAAGAATTAAAGCAAACACAAAAATTATTAGAAAGCAGAAAAAAGGAAGGAATCTTAAGAGGATATTTAGTCTACCCAAGCCCCAAAGCAGCATCAAGTGTAGCAAAATGAATACTGGGATCTTGGGAAGCTTTCAAGAACAAGTTAGACAGTGATGAAGGCGATCAATTGCACTGCTTAACCCCAGGCGATCAATTCCACTGCTTTTACAAACCTTGCAGTTGGAGAAAAACCTAATGTCCCCCCTGCTGCAGTTAAGCCTGTCCACTGAACCCCTAGCAGACAGAGAGATTCACTCTGTTTTGTAACAGAGCAGCCTTTTAGAGAGTTGTAAATGAATATCCACTTTTCTGGATATTTTCTTCTCTGTAGGCTGAAGAATATTGGTCCTGTCAATCTCTGCTCATGAACATCTTGTTCGTGTAGCTGCCCTGTAGGTTTTCTCCCATTAGGCCATATCTGTCTGTGAAGACTGGTGGAGTCTGGTGTCCAAAGCACGAGGTGGTACCCAGCTCACACTGCTTTTGGTGAGTGAAGTATAGATTGCACATGGCTGCGTATCCTGGTTGCACTGGCTATGTCCTCTGAAACTTGCTTCTCCGTGACGGGAGAACCTTGCCAGTTCCTATTTAGTAGCTATTTTCAAGCTCTCGGAGCTTGCTGTCATCTGTAAGCTTAATGAGCACATTCTCTATTCCACCAGTCAAGTTGTTAATTAAAATATTGAAGAGCAGATCCCCTGACAATTATCTTCCAAGGAAGGAAATTAGATTGATTTGACACAATTAATTCCTGGCAAATCCATTTGGCTGTTTTAAACTCTTACAAAATAGCAGGGAGTGGGAGGAAAAGGTTATATAACTTGTCCATGTGTCTTTCTAGTCTGGTTCTTGCCCTCTCTTAGCTTTCTTGAACTCTCCTCCTCATGACTTCTCATTTGTAATTACTGTTGGGCAGGAGTGAAAACAAAGAGATGGAGACAGCAGTCGTCGTCACTGCCAAAACCTTTGTAACTTAAAGCCAAGCCTGGGCATTCTTGGGTGAGTGTCAGCAGGTTAAGCTTATTTGAAACCACCAGGCACACTAAATAGTCTCTGTTAGTGTTTAGCTCTTTGACACAGATATGAATTGCCTCTCATATGTGGAGTCTGTTATAGTCATTTCTCACGCATAAAAGTAATTCAGCTATTAGAAATAGCACTTCTATTAACAACATATGTACACTTTTTTGAAAATAGTAGGCGCTATTTTTTTTTTGGAAAATTGTTTATCCTCTGCCAAAGTCTGAATTTATTTGAAGCTTTTAGAGATTGGGATAATTGTGTGGCGTGCTCCAAATAATTAGGTCCTCATCTCTTGATTGAATTCCTTTCTGGTTGCAGACAAACATGAACAATAGTTGGGCAAGTGCAGGCAATACAAGGCATCGGTTTAAATTATGTTTGATACAGTGAAAGATGTTTTAAATACCTACCCAGGAGAACAGTATTATTTCTTTCCTAACCCAAGAAGTCCATGTCTAGTACCATAATGTTACCTAGGAGATCAAAAGGTACCATGATAGTGGGAGAAAGCTTTTGGGAGGTAAGGAACTTTTGACAAGTTGACAAGTCAACTCTCTGACAATACAATCTTTTCTAAACGTCCCTTGCTCCTGCAGTTCACATGTAAGATATAATAAAAACAAATAGAGTAAGTATTTTTATTTCCAGAAGTTTAAAATTCCTATTAAAAATACCAAGTGCTGGTGAATAATGAAAATCATCTAAATGAGGTTCTATACATTGCTGGCATTTTACCACGTTCTTATGAACTCCTTAAATGCCACATATTTTAATTGAGATTAGCAGAGAGATTTTCAACCAAGTTCAGAACCTGAGAGCCTGGTAGGCTGTTTGCACTTCTTTGGCGATTACCCATTTAGCATATACTTTAGCATTATCCACTAAAAATATCCCAAAATAATTAACGTAGCTGCAAGCAGTGTGCAACTGAGTCTGGCCCAGAGCCCTGTGGGCTCCCAGGCCCTGCTGCTGCCTCTGCCTTGGTGCTGGAGATGGCAGACGTTGAAGAGACGACAGGAGGTCACCTGGCTTGCCCCCACTATGCAGAGTTTCTGGTGCCGTTTCTCCCAGTCCCTCACTTATATAACATTTTTTTTCCATTCATTTTAGTCTACTTCTACATATGTTGGCCCCAGTGACAAATAGCAATGACTTTTGAAATAACCAGAGCTTCTTTTGTATACACAAATAATGTCATTGTTTTAGGAGCCAATATTGCAGGGCTCAAAAACACATACGTTTGTCTCCTTGTCTTGAGTTACACCCTCTTGGGCCTTCTTCAGCACTCTGACTTGCCCCTTGATATTTACACACCCTTCACATGTTCAAATAATCACAGCATCTTTTCCAGTCCCTTTAACCTTCACCTGCCCAAGCAGTAGCTGCTTGCTTGTTTGAATTTATTCTCATAAATCACATCTTCCCACAGAAGTCAAAAGGAATATGTGCAATTCTGGGATCATGTGTACTAGTAACTATTAAAACCCAAATCTCAGTCAACTTTTGCAAGGCATCTGATTGCTCCAGGATACACACTGAACTGTGGAAACATATCTTCAAACAGAATCATCTAATCTATGAATTCCTGCAAGGGAAGGTGGTTTTCTTTTGGAGAACTAGAGAGCAACCTTCTCTACCTGTACTTACGCAAAATGACTCCCCTGTAAAACTTCACCAGCGTGGAGCCAGCAGAGTTAGCTCATTGCCCTTGAGGGCTGTTGTATCATCATCGATGCAGTTGGTTGGGTTGTGGAGGGTAGATTCCTCCCACTCACACCACCACAGTCACAATAATCCTTCTGTTCACAAACCTCCCAAAATATTTATTGAGAGGGTAGCTTGGAGGCATGTTTTCAGCAACGGTTAAGCCTGTTTTCACTTGTCTGTCTTTCTTGCATTTTTTTTTTCTATTAAATTTTGGAAAGGGGGCGGGTGGGCAGTGCTTAAAAGCTGCAGTTTCAGGTAGCAGGCTTCCCCGCACTTTAATTACTGTTTGACAGATAGCTCAGCTTTCCAGCTGAGTTGCCCTAACTGGAAGCAGCTGCTCTTCTGCAGTACTCCCCCTCCAATTCAGTCTATTACAGAAGTAATAGGTGTCTTGTGCCCCTTTTCTACATTTATAGCTGTAAAATGCAAAGTTTTCAGTGCTTCAGGTGGCCTGCGCATGGGGAGATGTTTCCCACCTTTTTTTGTTAGTTAATGAAATTTTATTAAGTGAAACATTTGGTATGTCATTAACAATATAGGAAAAATAAAATGTGCAGATTGGATACAATTCCCTCCTTCCTTGTTTACTCTTGTTAGTGAATATAGAGCAGATTTTAATATATTTTTCCACGGTAACTTGAAGCTTTGATTTGAGAAAGAGGCACGAATGACTGTGCTGCTTGCAGAGCAGCGGAGGGCAAGACTTCTCTGGCACAGGACAGTCTGCATGCAGCAAGCTGGTGTTTATATCCACAGCTGAGAGGAATACTTATCATCTTGAGTACATTGTCACATTCTTGTGAATGCTCCTGATTTCATCACTAGCTCCGTGATTTATTTAGCATCCCACCACCTGGGGCCAAGTGATGTAAACACCTCAGTTTGTTGCTGTTTTTTAATAATGGAAACATAAGTTCAAGCTTGTGTTTTTCAAGGAAAGTATGAAAATACGACCTGAGTGCACCCTGCTGACTCAGGAAACTGAAGCCAAAGCACTCCAAAAACATTACTTCTAAAATTGCATTAGGTTTAAATGAAAGCATAATTTTCAGGTGCCTGACGTGGGTGAGTCTTGAACCCTTGTCATTACAACAGGAATTACACCACCATGTGTAATACAGCTGCGTACCTGCTGCCTGCCAGCCAAGTGCTGTTTGCTTTTCCATAAATTATCTCGTGGCTTGTGCGTCTGGGCCGCTGGGCGGCGGGAAGGTCAGCAGATCCAAGGGCACGACTCTGCGACAGGGAGGGCACCGGCATTGAGCCGCAGGCAGGAACTATTCAAAGGGAAAGGTAGGCCAGCTATTTTTGAAAGTGAGAGAAGATTGGGAGCTTTGCGTCTGTCAGAGCCTGATAATGGGGGCTGCTCGCGGGGATGTGGGCGAGAGGAGAAGCTCTGGTGGCCGAGTAGGAGTTACCCAGCAGCGGCCGACCTTGACAGAAGTCTTGGAAGCGAGTATGTTCTCCTCACTGGTAGCAATAGGGAGAGTAGACCCTAGGCCTATACAGCAAGCAAGTATTAAATAATCATCTTTGGTTACTGGTTTATTACCTTTATCTTTGGCTGGCTGAGATCATCAGCCACCATTTTTTCTTATTTTTTAATAGGTAGGTTCATGTTCTCTTTCACAAATCCTGTGGCTGTGTGGCTTTGGGAACATGGGTTCAAAAAGTGCAAAGTCAGAGTTGGCTGCGGAATCTTTGTGAGAATGGAAGTCAGGATTTTGGTGGGGCCTGTTCACTGCTGGTTCAGAATGACATTGTATTTGCTTCTAAAAAAAAAAATGCTAGTTGCAGAAAACAATTTGTATTTTGTTTGGTTTGGTGACAGCATTTAATTGCCTTAGCAGGGAGTGGGTACTGAATGGAGCTGGAGGAGGAGTTGTGCACTGTATGACTTGGGGGTGGGACTGGTCTGGTCTGGAAACTAATCAGCACCTCCTGGTTTGTTTGCTAGCAAGTCTCCGCCATTGGCATATTTGTGTCATGAAGGTTTTTCTGAAATGTTTTGCTAAAGGCAGCTCTGTACATTTTTAGTTTTTTGTGGATCACAGACAACCTTTTTTCCCCTTAAGTCTTTTCTTTTCCCTTTTTTAAGAAGGATGTATTTTTTCCTTTTAAAGGGGAATGCAATAAACACCTCCCTTATTTATTTTTCCCCCATATTTACTTTTAAGAGTTGGGCTGGTTGCGAAGTGAAGGACAGTACAGGCTAGCAGAGAAAAGGCAGTGACTGTGTGAGCTTGGCCGTTCTCTTTCCGTGTTCCTCCTTCCTGCCATCCTGCCACAGGTGTCTTGGGACAGAACTTGTGTCAGCAGAACATCGCGGAAATACACAGCTATCGAACTTAACTAAGTTGTACCTAATGCTTGCTAGTTTTATGATGTGCTTTGGGATGAGATCATCAAACTCCTTTTCACTAGTCATTTACTGTGAGCTTCGACAGACAAATCAAAGGACACTGTGACTGGAAAAAAGAGTCCAAGCTTAAGTCCTACTCCCTGTTCTGAGGCTTGCTTTCCTCTCTTTCTTTCACTTCCTCTGTTCTAAAATTATTTGAGATAAGAGCAGCCAAAGGACACTGAGTAAAATGCTTCCGTCTCTGAGGATTTTGTAAATCTGTCACAAAAAAAAAAAGATTTGCATGCATCTTTTGTGGAATACACTTACAAAGATAGTATAAGAAAGCAAGCTCCTGTGATCTACAGTTTAGAGACTTCCCCTAGACATCCCAAAGGATGCCGAGTTCCTGCCTGGAAAGTTGCTTAAAATTTATTAAACATATTGTAGGAACAGAAAATGAATAGAAAATGAATGCCAACTGTTTATTTGTTGAAATGCAAAGTTGTAGGGCATTAGAAGAATTCCAGAGATGAGCGAATGAGAGAATGGAGATAAAATGAAGTAGAAAACTGGGTTTTGCCATGCGAGCAGAAGAGGGGAATGCCGTGTTTGTGTGGAGAGGGCTCAAGTAAATAATACGACGAAGCAGAAGGAACTGAAACAGGGCTACTGCCTCGTGCTTGGGAAGTGTTGGGTTGTGCTCTGCTGAGGGAGGGGAATTCAACAGGATACTGGAGCCCATTGTGGGACGTGTCTGTGCGCAGGAAGCCAGGATATGGACCTTTCCTTTCTCCGTGTGACGCAGAAGATATCGTTCCGGGAGGCCTGCAATGGGCAGTGCGTGCTATGGTTAGATTCTTTCCGTACACGATTTGTCATCGAAAGGGGCAGTCGCCACATCTTAACTGAAACCTCTCAAGCTTAGCAACGCTCCTGTCTATAGAGTGTGGTGCTGGCTCTAACTTTTAAGGGTATTAGAAAGGTTTTCTCCAACGTGTCACCTCTCCTTTGCAATTTTTAATCTCGTAGGGTCTTGATATCTAGGGGAAGGATGGATCTGGTGTAACTTTTCCAACTTTTATCAAAATAGAGCAGTTTTTTTGTTTGTAACTGCTTTTTACTGATAGAGTTGTGCAGTCTTAACCCCATCTGGTTTGCGCTGCGTGTATTCGTGCTTTTCTAGCTTTGATACTCTCTAGACATAAGGCTGGCAGTATCAGGAGCTAACAGGTGACAGGGAGCCTCTAAAGGAAAAAGCAGTGATTGCTGAATGTGCAGCGAAGATCTGTAAACCAGAGTATGCAGCTGAGATATGGTCTATGTTTAAAGTAACTGGGTAGATATTGTTGGACTGCGCTGCTTTTAAAATTAGGAGTATTTGCTGTGATTATCTAATTGATAATTGATACTGAAACAAGTACTTCAAGAATATATGGTGATCAGATGGGAAAATGCACATGATAGATCTGTCTCTATAATTTACATCTGTATGTAATTTACATCTGTATGCATCAAATGTATCTGAGATAAAATAATGGATTACTTTGCCTTATGTGTTGTGGATTCTGCAGGCAGGACTCAAGCCTACCCTGAAAGAGGAAGAGGGCAGGAGGTGAAAAGAGACACAGTTGCTCTTAATAGGTGTTGCTGCAACTAGCTCATACTCAGGCAAAGTTTTAGGGCTTTTGCAAGTCACCTGTGGGGAACAGGTGGGATTTTATTTCTCCCTTTCCTTGTACCTTTACTGTGTGCATAAAATAGCTTGCTTATTTATTTCTCTGGAGCTCTGATGTTCTCATTTAGGCCTGCTGTACTGGGCATGGTGGTGGTAGTGATGTTGAGAAACCTCTCGGGTCTTGTTCATGCAGCCAGATGTCTGGCAGCCATTCCCCTAGGTTAGGTATGAGGGAGCAGCGAAGTCTGGTGTCCACTACGCTGTGGGGCAGAGGCTGCTTCCCAAGGCAATCCGATCTCTCCCAGCCTCCTGCCGGAAGTTTAAGACTGGAGTCAGTGTTTGGGGGTTGTTAGTGGTGTAGATTGCTTGGATTAAATGACTCTTAAATGGCTGCCAGTGGTTATGACAGGTTGGTTCTGATGACACATATCATCTTCTTCAGTTTATTTTGATGCATACTTTAATTGATTTGTGAGTATTTAATGTGTTGCTGAAACCATTGAGTCATTTTGTGTGAAACTGGAGCAAGGTTATATACGCTGCTTTGGGGCAGAAAGAGTCTGATCTCATGTCTTACTGTGATGGAGGCCTGTGCTTGTGAAGAAGTATTCCCAGGGATGGAGTTGGGGCTAGTGAATCTGCCCTTCCTAAGTCCTCAGTAAAGAAAGGAAAATCAAGCACCTCACTGTTGAGCTTGACGTGAAGCTGGGATCCTGCTCTGAAGAGCCCTCCAGCAACAAGTCCGTCCCTGTTGAATATAGAAGGGAGCTGCTGGAGTTGGTTAATCCTGTCTGGTGCGTAGATGTGGGAAACTCTTGAGAACTGCACACCCACATGCAACTGATGATCTGATAGCAGGAGATATTCCCATATCCCGTGTGTGGATCGATTCCATCTCCTATGTAGTGGTTTGCAGGGGGTAACTGCTCAGATGCTTCATAGCTCTTCTGCAGACACACAGTCAAGCAGCTGTGTCCAGGCTGTGTTAGAGGGTACGTGCAAACAACCCGTGTGCCGTAGGCCGGGTACACCCGGGGGTCGCACCAGCATCGCTGATAGGCACGAGCCAGCAGCCCAGGTCTCCACGGGAGACTGCGGTGACCCTTCCCAGGGCTTCCAGATGGTAACCACCGGGGCAGAGCCGCCCCGAAAGCCTCGGAGGAGCGGCCACATCTCCTTCTGTCTGCTGTAACTGAGTTGCAGAATTTGTTGTGCTGGAGTTGTTTGGGTTGCAGTCTAGAGAACTGCAATAAAATGTAAACAAAAGCTATATTCTAAAGTGCTAATCCAGAGTTACACAGTGATTCTTTAGTAGAAGTTTTAACACAAACCAGATACTGCACTCTGGAAAAGCAGAGGCCGTAGTCAGCAGCTAGACTGCAAAACCCCTTTAAGACCTGAGTATCTATTTTTTTTTTCTAAAACTCTTATACTCTTGCTGCAACTGTAAAACTCTAATAAATCCCAGTGACATTTCACTACAGGACACTAGTACCATTAAAACAGGGGAACCTTCTGAAATCTGGAAAGGGGGAATATATGTGAGAAAGATAGAGGGGAAGTAATATTCTAGCATGCTATAGTTATCGAATCCCTTGGAAAATGGAATGTGAATGTCTGAAATGGAATTGCAGTAGATACCATAATTACAAGACCATAGAAGATCTACATGGCATCGTAAATTGCTATGGGTTTGCTGTCATTCTCTCATATCAGTTTGTTATAGCCACTCCTCCTGCAGTCAAGTGTTTCTACAAGATCCTTTGTTTCCCCATCTTGCTTCCCCCTTTTTTAAAATCAAAAAAGACTGACTCTCAAATAAATTGAAGTCAACTGGTCGAGGCCCCAGCCACACGTCAGGTTCCTCCGATGAAAGCTGCTGCCTTCGCAGAGCGCTCTGGCTTCTGTTTACCTGCACTGGGCTGAAAAGTGTGGATACTCAGGACTGCTTTTGTAAACTGAGTTCCGTCGCTGCTCCCGGCAGGAGCAATAAACTGGAGTGGCAGGGAGAGGCAAGGCAAGTGGGAGTGCTGCCCCTTGTGCCTCTTTGATCCTTATCTACTGCTGCATGAGTCAGAGCAAGGAGGCTTTTAGACCTTATGCTGCAGAGATTTAATTTGAATGTGCCTCCAAAATAGATTAAAGACACGGAATACCCAGAAAATTACTTGCAGGAGAGCAGGATATGTAATTCCTGAGACTAATAGTGTGTTGACAGTGTCTTGAGTATTTTAGATAGATGTTACTATTGTAGGTGGTTCAACCTGGATTTCATTTCAGAGGGTCACTAACTAAATTTCTCCTGAGTAATTAAACCAGCCTTGAGTTGTGCAAGCCATTTAAAAAGGAGCGTCAGTGAAACCTCTTTGTGTTCTCTTTTCACACTTTGTAGGTGTGCACTCACATGCCATTTAAAGGTGAATTAGTAGAGATTTCA